TACTAACTGTTTACGAGAGAGAAAGAGAGTGAGAAAGAGAGCAATTACTGAGAGTAGAGTAGAGAGTGTATTCTCACGTTTCTCCCTAGTTCTCTCGTCATAAGTGCTTCGTTTATTTTCCTTGTACCTGCTTCTCTGGCTTGTTGTTAACCTCCAGAGATGACTGTTTGGTTGTAGGTGTCATTGTTGTTGTCGTCGTCGCTGTTGTTGTTAGCACCTTCGTGTTCCTGTTCATTGAGAACAATTTATGAATCTGTGCATTGATTAGTCAATCATTCAATAAGTCTTAAAATCCATCATATGTCATTGATATGATGATGGCGAGGACGACGACGATGATATTTGGTGTACACAAGCGACGCAATTTCTCTTTGTGATTTCGAACTTTGCGAACTTTGTGTTTAATGCGTAAATTTATTTTTGTTTTGTAATTTTTAAGATTTATTTGAATTTAAACCAGTAAAGAAAGTCTTAAAGTCGGGCGGGGCCGACTTTATGATACCCTACACCACTTTGCTAATTTAGTAGAGCTCCACATAACAATTAAAAGTTTTTATGGGAGAATTCAATCATACACGCTATGATTATAATTATAATTTAAAGTTCAAAAGACTAAATATGCCGAAGCATTTGTATCTTTTAAATTCGGACTTGTATTGCCCATTTGGTGCACAATTAATTTGAAATCGGATAAAAATATATATGGCAGCTATATCCAAATCTGAGCCGATCTCGATAAAATTTGGCAAAGATATTTCTGAGCTTTATTTGATATATTTCCCTGAATATCGTTGTTAGGGAGTGCATATTACGACTGTGGGTAACAAATATGACAAATCGGATGAAGAGTATATATGGGAGCTATACCTATATCTTAACCGATCTTCACCAAATTTGACATACTAGCTTCTAGACTCAATTTGCCAAATTTCATCCAATTTGGGCAAATATTAGTCGTTTGGTGCACAATCAAAGGTACATCGGACGAAGTTATATATGGGAGCTATATCCAAATCTGAACCGATCTCGATAAAATTTAGCAAAGGTATTTCTGAGCTGTATTTGATATATTTCCCCAAATATTGTTGTTACAGAGTGCATATTACGGCTGCGGAGGACAAAAATAATAATTCGGATGAACAATATATATGGGAGCTATAGCTATATCTGAACCGATTTCGATCAAATTTGGCATACTTATTTTAATGTCCAATCTGATAGTACGTTCAAAATTCCATACTATTCGGACTGATATTACACGTTTGGTGCACAATAAAAGGCAAATCGGACGAAGATATATATGGGAGCTATATCTAAATTTTGACCGATTATCTCCAATTTCAATAGGGTTCGTACTTGGGCCAAACAAATGATTTGTGCAAAATTTCATCAGGATATGGCAATAAATGCGACCTGCATTTTGTTTACAAAAATACATGGATAGACGGACGGACGGACGGACATGCATAAATCGACTCAGAATGTGATTCTATGCAGATCATCAAAAGGAACTATGGGTCTATCTCGTTTCCTTTTGCCTGTTACAAACAAATGCACAAAGACATAATACCCTAACCACCTTGTGCTGTAGGGTATATAAATGGGACAATGAAACATTTCACGGGAAAATTGTCCTAAATCTGAAAATATTATTAACTTAGTAATGGGAAGAGAAAATATTAGAGGTTTGTCGCAAACGACATGGTGATAACATTTCAGTATTTATCACATCTGTAAGGAAGGTTACTAGCTACTTAGATTTCTAAATATGCCATATGCGGTAAAGATACCTGTGAGCACCTACCTTGCGGTCTATCTCACAGTAGTTTTAGCACCGGGTGAATACAATGCGTCTACCAACGTCCTCACAAAAAGTGAGTACCAATTCGCTCGCACGTTATTTGGAGTATATCTAAAATCCCTGCCTTTCTATGAGTCAGGCACCCGGTTGAAAATTCAACTCCACAATCGATCAACACACTCTCCCCGCGATTTGGGTATAAACCACAGACACCGCGATGCTCCCACAAGGGAGCGAACACCAACTGCCAGGCTAGATACGAGGTTTTAGGGTCACCTGACACCCGCGGTACCAGAATATAGCTTCTGGACTGGATTTGTAGCATCGCTACTACCAGCTGAACTTCTTACAGTCCGGGACTTCTCAACCACCAACAAAATATCAGCAGACAACATGCGCCCAAACACGACAATTAACATGCTGTCCTCATAAACAGCACAATGGGTTCACAGGGACTGCATGAAAGGATTATACAACACAAACAACAAACAGGACTATTCTCACGGGTAGCAGAGGAAAGATCAGAAATCATCCCAAAGGTCCAGGGAGCAAACTGACCAAACAGTCCACGACCCACCGTCCACTGTACAGGGTGAGATGAAAAAAACTGTTGCCAAATTCAGACTGCTGTTATTTCTAAGCCACTTGTCCGAAAGCTGTTAAAATTATTCCAATGACAGCTCATTCTATTGTTTGCATGCGTACAAAAGCATTTTGGTGAGAATTTTCCAGAAAAAAAGTTATTCGTGATGGAATTCAAGCGTGATAGTGTGATTTCTTAATATTTGGCTGGAAAACCACAAGGGGCTGTGTTAGATCACAACAGCATTTAAATGTGAATAAATCTTTTGTGTCTCGTACCGTCGCTCGTTACCGTGATACTGGTAGCGTAGCCCGACGTCAAGGAAGTGGGCGGAAAAGAACAACAGCATCAGCAGAAATGGTTCGAAAAGTAAAGAAGCGACTTGATCGAAACCCGCGTCGCAGTGACGGAAATGGCTCGTGATTTGAACATTTCGCAATATTCCATTCGGCAAATATTGAAAAAATAGCACGGGATAAAGCCATTGAAATTCCAAAAAGTGCAAGAACTTACACCGCAACTGAAAGAAAATAGATTCAAAAGAGCTAAAGTGTTGCTTCACTTGGCCGAAAGTGGTGAACTGTCGAAATTGGTTTTCTCCGATGAGAAAACATTCGTTGCCCAGCAGTTTGTAAACAAACAAAATGATCGTGTTTACTCGCCGAATAGGTCAGGTCAGCTGAAAATGTGCACCTTCGGTTGGCCACAACAGAACTCAAGCGCCGGCCATGGTGATGGTGTGGGCCGCCATAACAACAGATGGTCGCTCTCCGCTCGTATTAATCGAGGTTGGCATCAAAATAGATACCGAATATTATCGCGAAAATATTCCGGAGGGTGTATTAAAGCCTTGGCCACGCAAACATTTTGGCCACAGAAAAAGTTCGCACTAGAAAATACCAAAGTGTTGATCACCTCAAGCAAGCGCTTCGCCGGGAATGGGCCAAAATACCGCAGACCAACATTCGGGCAGCGTGTGATGGTTACATTAGCCGTTTGAAGGCCATAATTCGTGCCAAAGATGACAAATTCGAACAAATCTAAACTTATTCCAAAATTTGATGCTATTTCCGACATTTTTTGCTTTCATTCAATAAAATAAAAAACAAAACAAAAAAGATGTAAAAATTATGGCGTTTGACTTTGTTGAATTTTTTTATCTCACACTGTATGTGACCATCAAAGAAACGGTCAGAGGAGACATTTTCGTGTATTTGTGATTTTGCCAGGATTAAAAATATTCGCGGTTTAGTTTTAATTTTCGTAGTTATGGTCTATTTTAACTGCTAAATATTATCCGATGACCAAAGAAAATGGTAGGCTTCTGTTCAGCCTTAAACTCAATGCTAAATTCCGCGTCGATTGGTCTATAATTGCGACTTGTAGAGCAACTGCAAAATCAGGAAATATTTCTAAATAATATGCGATAATCTCCAAAAAGAATAGGCTTCTATTCTGACCCTAGCTGCACCTCCATGATAAATTTCGTGAGGAAGATGGACAGTCGGGCAGACGGACATACATAGCTAGATCGACTCAGCTCGGTGAGATAGAAAGATCCAACTCATAGTGTTGTAGGGTTTAAAAAGAATTAAATTTTTTTCACCCCTTCTAAATTAGTTTTAAAACGTCATTCATGCTCTTCCATAAATATTTAAATAATTTTGTTTTTTACATATTTAAATTTTTCTCTTCAAAAAGCAATTCTGCCTTAAAAAATATTCTCTAAAAATTTCCAGAACTTCCTGGATTCAAAATATTTCTTAATCTATTTAAAGATTAAAAATTTACTTTTGGAATCTTTAAAAAATTATTTCTGCCCAATTCACATAATTAGCCTTTAAAATCCTTCCAAAAACGTTTTTAATTATCCACGTTACATTTCCGTTTGAACAAGTGCATGCATTTCATATATGACCACATGTATGCATGTGTGTATGTCTGTATGTTGAAGGACAGTAACACAATAATTCACCTAACGCTATTCTTTTGCTTAGCGTTTGTTATTTGAATCAAAGTATCAACGAACAGCTTCAACGTTTTTTTTTTTCGCTGGTGTGTGTGTGTTTTCCAATATTAATTGAACTTTGTTATGGTGTTGTGTGGTGGTGGGCTTCAACAGTGTTTGTGCAGCAATTCAGTTTCAAAATAACGGTAGTGGTGGTGGTGGTTGTCGATGGTGCTACACTCGTGTCACGAATGTTATTGTGGCAGGCTGTCAGTTAGTCAAATCAAGTATTCAACAATTCGTTTTTTTTTTGCTCAGTTATGCTCTGTTGTTTACGAACACCCGCCAAACAATGAGGCATAAATGTGTGTGTGCTCAATGTGAGTGAGATACGAGAGAGAGGGAGAGTGTTGGAGAGTTCTCTTGCGCAATGAATGAGAGTTGAATGCTTTTACCATTGCTGTTGTGATGGGAAAACAAATTTCGTTCAAATTTCGTCAAGTTTGCTTTACGCTCTGGCTGAGAGTCTACTCGCTGAACTCTCTGTGTCTGTGTGTGTGCTGTGCTGTGATGTGCTGTGCTATGGCCAAATCGTGGCCAAAACTTTCAAACTTCGTGCGGAAACGAATGCTGGAAATGAATGGAAAATCCTTTAGTATTGAAAAGGTCGTGGTTTTGTAAAGAACGTCGTTTCGACTGCGTGTCACACACGGTGTCTTTATCTCACTACACACAAATAACCAAAGCAAACCAAACAAGAAGAAGTAGAAAAAAAAATCAAGCAAAGCAAAAAAACAAAAACAACAAGCGACGGCTTGACGGGTAAATGTTGTTTAACCTAAATAAAAAAAATTCAAAGAAATATTTAAAGAAAATTGTGAAAATTAAAATAAATACCCCGCTGAAATTTGTTTTGGGCAGTACCGTGTGACAGCAGCGGCAAAACGTAAACCTCCGTTTTTTTGCAAATCTTGTGTAACCCAATTTCTCGTGTGTCTTGTCGGGCGAACGTGCGTGCGTGTGTGTATGTGTATGGTAGTGGGCAAATAAATGCGTGTGTTTGTGGCAAGAAAAAAAGGAACGCCAACAAAAAAAGTGTAGCCTCCTAGCCATGCTGCTTCAAGAGGAGGTTTAAAATTCGGTTTTCGGTTCGGTTTCTCATTTATTTTCCCCGATTTTCCTTTTCGCAAATCCCTTTCCCCCCAAAAAGCCAACAACAACATCAAAAAAGGAAAATTCGTTAATGATTTTAATATGGATTTGCCTCATTGAAGCTGGTATTTTTACGCAAAATTTAGCATTTCCGGTTTGTTGTAAAACATCCGTTAAGTGATCCGATGAGGGACGCCGAATAGGGAACGAGGAATGTGTAACGAACGATGAGCCTGGCTGACGAGTGCCGACTATATAAACGCCATAAAAATTCCAATGCTTGATGCCGAAGATAAAAAAGTAAAGCTAAGGCTAATGAAGCGTGAAATTTCCCAAGGAACACCCTGAATTTTTGGGCAAAACTTTGATCAAAAGGAAAGAAGGAAAAGGAAAAAAATTAAAAAAAGGAAATAAATTTTACAAAGAAATTTCCATAGTTTGGAAATTTCATAAACAACAACAGAACCAAAAATCAAAAAAATATAACTTAAAATTGCTGGCATACTTTAAGGGGTTCCTGAGATTTCCTTAAACAACTTCCACTTCGAAATCCTAAAAACTTCATCAGAAAAATAATCATAACTCAGATTTCCCCCAATCAACCTCATTATGGCATTGATTATTCAAATGAAATAAAAATCGTAAATATTTTATTGTGCATGTGAGTGTGTTGTGCTGCTTTCGCTTGGCAAAAGGATCAGTGATATCCTTTTTATTGCCAAACCGAAAAGTCATAAATCCCAAATTTGTGTGTGCTTTTTTTGTGGAATAAAAAAATAAGAAAATATTTAAGCCTTTCCAAGTGCCAAGACTTAAATTAAATTACAAAGAAGCAAAAAGAAAAAAAAAATAGAATACCAACAACAACAACAAATAAGAATAAAAAATCAAACATAAAAACAAAAGCCAAATGGCCATAAACATCAACATGCTGGAGAACCTAAACATTTGCCGCTAAAAAAAAGGATACAACTCGTTTTCCTCTTCAAACATAAAATCCAGTTGGCAGTCTGTTTTTTTAAGAAAAAAGGTAAGATTTTTTTCTTTGGCCTCCATCGAAATGTTATAGACTTCCACAGACCCATCAAAATGTTGTTAATAACACTAAAATGTATTGAAAAGGGGTAAATGATATCAAGTATATGTTTTTTTTTGTTTTCTGGTGAAATGTTTATGTAGTCCTGTAATAGAGTGGGAGGTTGAATTTCAAGTCCTCAAGAGGGGAGGAAAATGGAAAACATATATAAAATTCAAATTAAAGGATATGAAAAAATTAGGAAAATTTAAAACTAAGGACCTAAGTCTTTAAGACAAAGGACCTAAGTCCTTATATTTTATCATCCTATTCTTGTCTAATCCTTTAGATACCATCACATTTTTTACCAATCCCTTCAAATATAAGAATAAAACTGAGGAGGCTAGTTCCGATTCTACCAAAACTATATGTATTATAATTCTTTTTTTGTCTCGGCAGAAATTGTCCTTAGACCACAAGGACGCTTATTAAATACAAACGAGAGACAATGCTCTTTTCGGGGAAATATTTCCATTAATCATATATTATTTGATACTGACATTGAACTGCTGTCACAAGCCTTGGAGTGACAAATGATAATTACAGGTAGACCACATATCATGCATATTATTAGCATGAAAATGAGAGTATCTGCGTTCAATACTAAATTATTTAATAACCAAACTAAATTGAAAATAATGATTACCTTCAGAAAATGGCCAAAATTTTGACATGGCTAAAACTTTGATATAGAATTCGAAATATTTCTGAAGCGTATTCAGCATTCAGGTGAGAAATTCATTCTTCAAATTAATTTTAATTCATATAGGGCTCCAGAATAAGTAACTAGACTGCTATTTTATAGTAAAAACTGCTTAATTCTATGCAGAATTTTCTTTTTGGAATATTTACCTCTTTTTTCAGAATTATTGGAAGTTTTCTATACTATTGTTGTTTTTCTATGGATTTTGAATATCAGTTCTACAAAATTTCACGGAATAATATTAAATCGATGTCTGGCATAGAGCATCTCCTCAGTAAATATTTTCAATTTCAAAGATATATTTCCAAATAAATTGGATTCAAAGATAACTACTTTGTACACATTTTTAGAAAGTTTCTAGCAATGGATATGTTCGCTTCTGATCTAAATCTAATATAAATATTATATTTGTCCTCGAATCGTTTCATAAAATCATTTCATTTTTCGAAATTTTAAATTTTTCTCGAAGAGGCTCCTTTTCTCGAAGAGGCTTTAAAATCAACAAAAAAAAAAAAATTTGAGATCTGCAAAATTTGACAAAAATCAGACATTGTCGAATTTTTGTGGAAAAGTTTAAAATATTGAGAGTTTCTTGTACTTATTCAATATTTTGAATAATAAAAACTTTCATAAATGTGAAAATCTGCCAATATTGTAAAATTTCGCATCCAACCTAAGACTTGTGGCAAATTTGAATTTATCTGGTAAACCCATGATATATGTATTTTTTGCAAAACTTTGTGGGGGATGTACCAGAGGGAATGTACAATTTCACTTCGTTCCGAACTATATCTTTTATTGCAAAAAATATTAAGTTGTTTCAAATTCAAGCCAAATTGGATATTCCCTTGAAAAGTTATTAGAAGTTATAAGAAATTAATGAAATATTTTAAAAATTTTCAAGTTGAACTAATATATCCATAAAACAATCAATCAATCAAACAATATCCTTTTAACATTTTTCCAAAATATGTTTTCCAAAATATATATATTTTACTATTCCACAACCTCGTATTGTATGTATGCTTTGATCCAAGGCTTGGCAAAGAGTATCCCTTGCGATATCTGTGTGTTCGCCAACACAATTGTAAAAAATAAATTGTTTTGAATTTTCTGTCAAAATGGTTTTGGGAGAATATTTAGTTTTGTTCGAACAGTCGATGAGGAAGGTGCTGTCGGATATTTTTATGAATACACCGTAAGAAATATTTGAAACAAATATTTCCGAAATTGTAAAAATTACAACTTTTAAGATTTATCTTTTATGAATGATTTCTATTTGACAAAATTTGCATACGAGTTTACATGTTAGGAATATAAATACATTTAATATTGTTGTATACATTTATTGTCCTTCCAAATTAGTAGACATTTTCATATCCCTTTATTTCTCTGAAATGACATGTACGTTCATAGTCAATATTAGGAAAAAGAACAGGATCAGATGTTTGTAATTCATAGAAATAATGTTTTAGGACCGAAAGCAGGATATGAGTTTTTGATCAGCATAATATTCTACGACTATTTACGTAGGTCAGCCTGTGGTAATCGGTTTAAAAAGTATAAAGGGTCAACTTAGATGGTTACCATGTTATGTCCGAAATTATTAAACAAAAATAACATCAATATTTTATAAAAAAAATCTGAAAATGTCAACTTATATATTTTTTAATTTTAAAATGAATCATAATTGAAATAACTATACAAATATATCTCCGAATTATCTGTCAAAATATTATTTTTTTACCAACTAAGTTGTTTTAAAAACAGAAAATTTTAAATTGAAAATTTAAAGATAGCAAATTATTTCTCACTCTGTAAAGAGAGGCAAAAAACACTTGCAATATTTTGTTATTTCAAAACACATACAATCACAAAAAATTTTTGAGGCTCTCTGCCTTGCCCTGCTTTGATCACATATATGAAAAATAACATGTGGATATCTGACATACAAGGTAGTTTAAATTTATTTTTTTTTTCAGTGGAGAAAATATCACTCAGCGGGAAGTAGTCCCTATTAAGGCAAGAAATTGCACCTAATTGGTTTCTAAGGAATTATAGAATATTCAAAAGAGATATTTTCAGTAAATTTTGAAATTAAATAGTTTTCTGTTTAATTAAAAGCAAGTAAGCAAAGGCTATAGTCATGCGGGACCGACCATGTGATACCCAACACTACAACACTACAATATGTTTTAGGCCTCCTTATGTGCAAATCAATTTTGGAAGATTTCGCTTTTGAAATTATGTCACGGAGCACTGCCCAGATATTACCCTTAGCATTTTGACCAGGGACATTTGCCTAATATCTACGCACCACCTCTTGCTGTTAGTTGTTGTGGTCCATTTTACAGCTAAATATAATATCCTTAACTCTCTTCTCAGACATGTCGATTGGTTTAAATTTTGTGATCAGGAAAATTTTTCTGTTTTTGGTTCATTTGAACCCCTAAAAAAATCAAGAGGCCCCTTTGTATCTCTAAATTTAAACTCATCTATACGATTTGCTTGTCTACGATATTTTGCTATATTCGTCAAGGAAATCAGCATAAAAAAGCCAGAAAATCGCCTTTTGTGTATTTTGGATTTCGCCTGTTAGTTATTTTTATCATTTCGGTAGAACGGAAATGTTGGTATATTCTTCACACAAAAGTAGTGGCACATTCTACCCGCTGTCTTTAACTCTAACTTTAACTCTATCCTTTGGTTTCTATTTTTGACCTTTGTAAAGGCTGCAAAATCAGGAACATTTTTAGTTGTTTATCTATTTAAACCCCTTAATATATTTCGGACATCTTTGAAAACAATAGATCTAGCCCGTCTGAGCCTAACCCTACCTTGTGAAAAATTTCGTAAGGATCGGACGATAATTGCAATCTGTATATAATAACCCCAACCTGTGTTGTAATGTGAAAAAATATTACAAAATATACACTTCAATAAAATTATAAGTCAAATGGAAAAAATCGCATGCGATAAAAAATCACAAAATACTACAAAATCTATATCAACATCATTATTAGCATTTTTTAAGGGGCTTTTATTCTTTTAGCATAAAAAGCTATTCTGGATTGACAAAATTTTTCAAAATCGGTCCAGTCATTATTGAGATATAAGAATTCTAGCTAACATCCCCTTCCTTTGTATATATACATTGTATATATATTTCGATACATATATCCGATATATTTACTATCTGCATCAACGTAACTGTCACAAATTAACCTTTTCGTATATTCGGGTTTAAAAATATTCCCGGTTTAATGGAAAATTTGACTTTTATTTAACACAAATGTTATGGTCTATTTCACCCACTAAATATTACGCGATGACCATCAAAATTGGGAGGCTACTGTCCAGCCCTAAGCTCTAACCCCATGCCAACTTCCTCCTCGATTGGTCTATAATTGCGTCCTGTGGAGCAATTACAAAATCAGGAAATTTTTCAGTTTTTGGTCCATTTCAACCCCTAAATATTATGCGATCATCTCCAAAAGCATAAGGCTTCTATTCTGGCCGTAGCCCCTTCTCCATTCTAAATTTCGTGAAGATCGGGACAGACGGACGAACGGACATAGATAGCAACATCGGCTCAGCTCGGCGAGATAGGAAGATCCATATGTACTTTCCTATGTGGGGAAAAAAATGTTTGGCCCAATCAAACTTAGAATACCCCCCAAAAGATAGTGTTGTGTGGTATAATAACAGAAATCAAAAAAAAAAAAATCTTAATTTACCAACGTTGGCTGAGGGTATACATATTGCGACAAGACCGGCTGATAAAATTTCTTACGATTTGACACTTTGTATTCTCAGTAGATATAATTTTTCTTCCAAGGTTTGGTATAGAACCCACAGTTAAAAGTCATTTAGAAATTCAGGATCTCAGAGGATATAAACATTTCTGTAGGACACTTCTAATATATTTCGACCATGCGGTGTGGCTCCACATAAAATGTTGCCTTCTGATTTTTAAACAAAAGGTCCACTGGAGTTCAATTTTGTTAAACAAAAATTTTCGCTCAGCGTTTCAACCCGAGCCCCATTTTGAAGATTCACCCAAATTCTCAACTTGAAGTGGCTATTTTGGAATTCTAAATAGCAAAAACATTTATGGGATTAGGCCTGACTATTTTGCAACAACACAGAACATTTATCTCAAAGAATGCTCGATATAAGTCCAGCTCTTGGATTGCTTCCTAAAAATGCTTAACACTAGATGCTTACAGGTTGAAGGTCCTAGTCTATCATT